ACACACACACACACACACACACACACACACACACACACACACGCACACACACACACACACACACACACACACAATCAGTTGTCTGCTTGTTTGTTTTCTTGTTGTCGTCTGTCCTCCCCCTAATCTTTTTGTTACCCAAACTGAGCACCCTTAAGTAGTGCCAAACAGTCGGTGGTTCCTCGTTTGGACTGCCTATTGCACTCTTATGGGGGCCGCTCAGTTCGGGTTGTCTGTGTTGCCGGTAGGTGATGACGGATGCTCGTCGGAGTAACTCCCTGGCTCAGTGGGTGGTGGGAACCAACAGTCTGTAGGGATCAACCGTGATGTGAGTAGGTCATGCGCTGCTTTGCTCCGTGTTGGATGTGTGGACTGCCTCGTCTGCGCACCACCGCCGCCTTGCTGCCTGTCCCGCTTGCTTTGCATGTTGCTCTCTGCAAGTTGCTGTGTTCACGGTGTAGTGTGGCTGTGTTGTCGGTGTTGCCTTGCGCTTCGCTGCTCCGCTGCCTTGCTGCCCAGTAGCGGGCCGTGCCTTCCGCGTTTCTGCGCTGCGCGCCATGTCTTCACTTGGAGACAGTCTGCCTTCAACAAGGGTCAAAGGATTCATGACCCAAACCATCTAATACGGAGATTCCCGCAGATTGTCGAGGGTTCAGCCTCCTGATGAATCGGTGCAATTCCGACGAAAAACAATCTTTCATCATCAGTTTATTTATTTTTTTCGGTCTTCCGATGTACTTGGGACTATGTCTTGTGTATTTTTTTCGGTTTGTCTGCCGTCGTGTGCTTGTGCTGCCTGCCGTGTCTGTTGCTTGGGTGTTGTCTGCCCTCCCTCCTCCCCCATGCCCTCCAGCCTATGTGTTGTAGTGTTGTCTGTGGCCCGTGTGTTTTATTGTTGTCCCTTCCTTGCCTTTGGACTCGACTCCACTCAGATGCGTATTCTCCTCCTGGAGTGTTGCGATGGTATGGTGCATGGTTTTTACTGTGCAGAGGTCTTCGCAATATGTGTTCACACACATCATCACACATCATCACACACACACACACACACACACGACCAGTTGTGTGCACCCAGTGGCACCACGCAGCAACTCTGCCTGCCTTGTTGTAGTTCTGCCGACCGTCTGCTTCCCTTTGTGCCACCAGGTGGGCACTTTACCTTGTTGTACTGTACAGGCTTGCAGCTGGGTGCGCCTCTTTTCTCTGGCCAGATTGCACTGCATTATGTTGGCCCTGCCTGGTGCCCGCATGTGTCTGTCCCACTCATGCGCTGCGTACCGCAACTTTTTTTTTCGGGTGGTGCCAGTTTTGGTTTTTGCATCAAACATTTGAAATCAATCCCTCGACCGTCCGCATTGAAGTGATGCGCATGCAGAGAATTTCAAAATGATTTTCCTCCCCAATGCAGACCAGCGTGCACACCATCACGTATGAGAGATGCCTTAGAAACCACTAGTACCTTCGCCGTTTTGTTTCGGTAACCTATTCCCAAACTTTTAGGAGGCCGGGTCCGACAACGGCCGCCGTTCATAAATCTGATCGGCAGCCGTCGTTTCGTTTCGGCCTCTTGAAAGATCGGAAGCCCACTATTTTCCGAACCGACAAAGGTACTAGTGGTTAAACAAAAAAAAAAAAAAAAAAAAAAAAAA